GTTTTTGGAACTTTTCTTTCATCTTCTTCAAGTTTTCTTCTATCTTTTCAAGCATATAAATTTTTTTCTGATTTTTCTGAAGAATTTTGCCTATCTCAGTTTGACCCTGAATTTCTGATTACACCGGAATTCTTGAATGATAATTGGCTCGAATTTAGGACTAGTTGACTTACACATAACAAGAAATGTAAACAAGACACATAACTTTTACGTGTTCTATCTTGCACAACACCAAATCTGATGATGCGATTGGTTCTAACAGAAAGAGCAAGGTGATGAGGCATCCACTTTGTAAAGAAGAAGTTTAAAGCTCTCACCCCTCCCCTCTTGTATTGGTTTTGTTTCTCTTTAAGATTAAAGAAAGGTCTTATCCTAGATACAGTAATAAGCTTCTTTTGTTACTGATTATCCTGAAAATGGTTGGAGAAAGAGGTCTTGAAACTATTTATTAATTGAATGAAGCTATAATTTCTTAGAAAACAGGCTGGAAGAGAAATCACCAAACAATATATTATTCCTCTCTAAAGGTTAGAAGTCTTTAAACATAAAGTTTCAAGAGTTACTCTCCTGGAAGTATCCTTAAATGTTCTTGGTTAACAACAAAATGGTGGAAATTAAATGGGTATCCAGCTATAGATGGTCAGACTTGAGATTGACTTCAAGGAGTTTTTATTTATCAATACAAACTTTTCACTTTTAATACTCCCCTTTTCTCTTTTTTTCCTATAAAAAATAAAAATTTTTTTATCTCCATAGGACTATAGCGGTTGTGTAGGAATGACAATCTTGAAATGAAGGCTAACTATGAAATTAAGGAAGACAAGAAGTGTCCTCCAAAATTAAGCAACTTTTTTATTTCCCCACAATCACACTTAGAGGCTACTGACTATTGATAGGTGTTTTGCAAGATCATATAGTTTAGCTTTAGTATAATATTATCCTATATTGTATTATCGTATTTTTGTTAATTAAGACTTATTAATAAACACCAAAACTTGCAGTCTGATTTGGAGTAAAAAAAAAAATAATAATAATAATAGTATTTTGAGAAATTATATTGAAAATATAAATATATATATTATAAAAATAAGTTTCAAATAAAAATATTTTAGCAAAAAATTTTTCTTTTTTTCTTGATGCTTAATATACAAATAAATATATTGAAAAAAGAAATCTATTATTGTAAACAACTAGGCACTACTAAGTAAATTAGTTTGATACAATTTACATTATATGATAAATATTATACTGTATATACCAGTATATTATTATGGCTTGTGTTATAGAAACACATGATTCCATTAAGTCATGTGAATGAAGTAATATAATATGCATCCTGCAGGTTCAGTGTTGACACAAAATAGAATATGACTGCTTCTGAAAGGTAAAAAATACTTTTGTATTGCGCAGGCAGACCAACTTTGATCATGATTCAATTGCGACGTGAATAGATTATATTATGGGAACATCAAGGTCAATGGGCATTTAATATCTTACATTCATTGCATAGTGTGGAATCCGAACCAATACCAATATATATGTACGGTGGGACAGCCGATAATTTAAGTTGGGATGGATTCAAAGAGAGCATCTACGCTTTTGTCTATTCGGTATGCATCCATTCGCTGTTATTTCTTATTCACTTGAATTCATCTTTTCTCATACCGTTCTCTTCGTTTTTTCTTCCTCAAGGTCGAATGGTCTCAACCATGGTTAAAGGCGATACTTTCTTTTCATATTATAACGTTGATAACATTGATTCAGTTGAGAAATAACACAAATGCCTTAGCCGTTGTAACCTTTAGTCTAAGTAAGAGGTTGAAAGATAACTGGGTTTTTTGTATTTGTGTCATTACAATTAATGAAATTTCCATTATTATAGTGGCCTTGGCCGCTTTCTCAAAAGTAATAAATTCCATAGCGCATAATCACTGGCAAGAGTTTTCTACGCACGACTACTTTGATGACAGTGGATTTTTTATCTCTATGATATTTTCTTTCCCGGTATTGGTCAATGCTATAGTGGGCATAGTAAGTGTACTTGACGTGTTGCATCGCGCTACTTGAATATTATGCGAAATCATTTATTTTGATGCCCTTTCTCAGGTGTTGATATTACATCAAGTACTACATTTACTTAAGATAATGAAGATCGCCCAAATCAAACGATTGGCCGCGTCGCAGAAGGACAACAAGGAATCATTAGACAGCAATAGTAAATAAAATGTAAGAGATCATTCTACGTTCATTGGCGTTTTACCATTTGCCATATCTTTCTTTCTTTCTATGGTATTTTCGACATGCTGCTTTATCGTTAACAAAGGATCATCTTTGAATGCGGAATGTTGTAATACTTTATGGAATCTTTGAATCTCGCTCATGCTAGCAATTATTTAAATATTATTATTATCAAACGGTTATTATGTCAAATATTAATATAGAGTAAAAAAAACCTACGCAATATTTTTTCTCGCGGCTTTTGTCTTTGCAGATGATGGAGATTGTGAATTTGATTTTCCAGCTCCTCGCGGTCGGGATTCAGGATTCTCAGAAATATCAACAGTAGAAAGACTTTCCTTCAGCGAAGCTATATTAAACGTTAAGGTTTCCTCGATGTCCATTCGCTGCGACTTTTTTTTCTTTTTTTTTGTCTTTTTTGTAACATTATGTGAACTTGAAAGATTCAATCCTTTGTGCCCATAAAAACGAAAATTTGTTAGAGCGATTAAGATATGCGGTGCATGAGCACATAACTAGTAACAATAACCACTGACTTTGTATCCACTTTTCATGCCTCGCCTTTTCCCTTTCTTTTTTAGTTTGTGAGAAATCTTTAGGTTTTTCGATAATTGGCTTTATTATTATAATGTACGTCAAAGAGATACTTAATACGAATCGAATGGACTTGTATTCCTTGTTGAAACTAAAAGTTTCACCCAACCTTATCAGGAGTTGATCCTAATACTACCGACTCTACATTCTTTTGCGGTACAGCGAACTCCCGATTGACTTGTGTCAATCTTTTTCGAGTCTTCTGAACCTTTGGCTGTCACAAAATTCGGTTATATTTGAGAATAAATAAGCGCAAACGCATAATCGTAATGCAAAATACCATCTCATTAGACAACCGACTACTCGAGCAAAAATAGATTACCTTTTCGGTGGATCACTAAAGCCACGCTTATCACGTGTCGAATTTATTTATAAAAAAAATATGATATATATACACTACTTGGACAAAAGTATCGCACATCATTTATTTATTAATTACACAAAATTTTACATAATAATTCTATTTAAAATT